AGGAGGATTCCAGATCGATTTCACGACTGGAAAATTCCATTGACGATCTGACGAGACCCTTCGCGACAGATCTGGTCCAAACACATATAACGAGCTTAAAGGGGATACAACGCGTCGAATGTTTCACTAGACAAGGTCAACTAGGAATCTGGGAATCTATTGAATTCAATACTGTTCCTTATTTAACAGAAAATAGAAAAAATGAATTAATCGAAATATTTTATTGACCATGCGTTATATATCTTTTTTCTGAATTATGTATTGGATGATACAGCACTCGGATAATGACAGTTTTATTAAAAAATCACCAATTTATTAAAAATTATAATAAAACTACAAACTACTTTACAAAATTTTTAATAATTTTTATTGGGATACTATCGATTTTGTTTTCTGTTAACAAATTTTTCTACAAATTTCAAAAGTATACTTAAAGAAATTCTTGATATACTTAAAACTAATATATTCATACATGTGTATAAATATTTCAATTATTTTTTATAATTATATTAAAATATTTAAAAAATTACAAAGCTTATGTTAATAAATTAACAAAATGTTTTTTATTCAATTTAAAGTTTGACAAATTTTAACACTCGTTAATTTATATTTGATAAATTCGTCAATACTTGTTTAAATAGTATGAAGCATATTATTCCATCTATTAGTAACTATGACTAATGAAATAAAAATTTTGATGAATACATATAAGATGATAAATATTATAAAACGTACTTGTGATCCGGAAATTTGGAGGAGATTCCATCGACTAGCAATTTTTCCACCTTTTGATCCCATTCAGTGACAAGGTCAACTTCGCAGGATTTCGTCATTGCATCTTTAGGTTGGTTAATTTTTTCCCTCACGATCTACAAAAAAATCATAATTGAAACATAATTATTCTTTTCAGTGCGAAAATCTTCAATAATAACGAATCTTTTTCAAACGGAGAAGATCGAAAAATTAAAAAATGAGTGAAGTTTTAAAAATGTTCCTTATTTCGTAAAGATATATAAAAATACAATATTTTTCAAGTTTAATTCATCTAATGTTCAACATTTTTCAAAAAGTTTAGGTTAGGTTTGGGTTAGATGTCGATAAATTTATTTAAACATGTTTGGAAATGCTTACATCGTTTAAAAAATACCCAAAACCCTAACCTTATGTATATGTTATATATGTAACCATCTTGATAAATTCTGAACATTAAGTGAATGAAACGGAAAATTCATTATAAAATTAAAAAATTTTTCGTTATTTTGTAAAAAGACACTCGAGTCAAATAGTCGAAATTGGAAAAAAGTCACTAAACTGCATAATTTACTCAATTTTCTTATAACCATTGTATTTATTGAATTCCATGTACACAAAAATTTACAATGTTGCAATTAATTTCCATACAAAAAAATTTTATTCCAAGTGTATCGTATATAATTAAAAAACTATTAATAGTTTGTTACAAATGAAATTATAATTACGCAAACGTTCTATAGCTTCTGTTATCGCTATTTCATTAGATAATGCATGTTTAGATAATGATTCTTAATGGCGATTATATTTTATAATTTTGAATCATTAGTTGTACAGATCAAATGCATTCAACTATTTATTAATATATAATATAAGCAATAAATAGAGAGATATAAAAATTATAGGTTATAAATTATAGCAGTTAAAGAGTTTAGAGAATCCGCGTAATATAAAACGCGTCATTTTATCCAACGCGATGAATTTGCTTTTTGGAAGCCAAACAAATACACATTCATGCCCATAAATTAGCGGCATTATTTATCTAGAATATAATAATGTATAATATACGCAGGTAAAAAATAATCATGTGCATTAAACAATCACTAACGCATCGATCAATTTTGCATTAAAATTCACAACATATCCAAGTGATTTCAAGGCAATAATTAAAATTCATCATCGAAAATGAAACTGCGTTTATGTTACATGAGATAACATTAGACAGAATAACGCATGGGAAACGAAAGCAGTATGCTAGTTGAATAAGAACATAATTGAAATCTAAAGCTGCGTGCAAAATCGATAAAACGTAGCCCGCTATCAGCTAGGAATAACTCGAAACACAAAACAAGTTGTGGCCGCTTCTCGTCAATTTCATCAAAGAAAATGTCACTCACCGAGCCAGCTTCCTTCACTAATCGAAGAACGGCTATGTAACATTCGTCGATATCGAACATGATTGATTAAAATGTTTGAAATATTCGGAAAGAAAGCACGAGTTTAGAACGCCGTCATAACAGACACAAGTATCAACGTCGTATGCACAATGGCAACGGCTACAGACTAACTGACGTAACATCTTGTCAGCTGGTTTTAAAAAGGGTTCCTTTGTCACTGAATCACGAGTGAAAGCGACAGTGGCGACCCGGTTCGTACAAAATTTTGCTTCATAGCTATTCTTGGTTTCTTGATAATCGTAAAACTCCGTTGCTTTGATAGTTTTCAAACATGTTAGATATCTTGTTAATATATTGAAAATAAATGAAATTATTTTACTTGAAAATTTTAGAATCTAATAAATTAGATATTTATTAGATGGGTTTTTAATGCATTAAAGACAAACGCGAAATTATTTTATTTGAAACGTATACATAATTATCTCGTTTAAGAACATTCGAAATTGGTAAATTATGAAATAAACTCAAATAATAAAGAGTTCAAAAGATATGAAATATGAATTATTGTTTCAGTTTATAAGGCCTAATAATACATATAAAATAAATGCAGCAGAAAATGATTATGAACTTAAAAATAGACAAAGAATACATATTGAATCGTTCGTTTCTTATTCAGTTTTGAAATGCTGCATTTGGAACCACAAAAGCCGGTTCTTACAAACTATAACTCGATCGATAAAAGTTAGAAGAGAGTTGGAGACTAGAAAAAGGTGAACCGAATAAATCAGTACAACAATTTCGCTTAACAGATCAATAATAATTATGTTCTTCAACATAGATATATTTACATATATAGTTGTCTTTTGCAATTATTCCATATAGTATACATATATACTTTGCAATATATATATCGTTATCACACCTATAGTTAATTTGTTCCGCAAGGAATGATATGTATGTGACGTGCCCCCATTAGGAGACACGAGGCAACGTTCCGTTTGACTCACCTTACGTATAGTATAACAATTATAAAACCAGCCTTCTAAAAAATTACCGAAAATGCCAACTTCCTTTCGCAAAGTGCGTTAATGATGGTGCGTATACTTAGGTCTCACGTCTTCTGTTCCTCCTTATAGGAACGGAAAATCATTGTAAAAAACAAATAGTTTGCTAAAATTAAATAATTTCTTTCTATGTATTTTTATAATCTTCCTTCTGTTTTTTGATAACTTATTATTCTTATATACCTAAAGAAAATAGAGAATCATGGGCAAAAGATCTTACGCTATAGCTAATGGGCATGCGAATATTTTTACAGCGTTTCTTTACATACGAGGTGGACTGCAGTAATTTCGTAACCGCATTCGTACTTTCAGTTGTTGATAAGTATCTTTCATAACGCTAACAAGACTCAGTTAGGATTTTCATGAGCGTTTTTCTTATCGCAAGTCATCTAAGACTCAACAACTTAATGGACAAGTTAAACGAAAGTAAAATACGACTTGATGAGATCCAAAAATTTACGATCAGCTACATTTTTAAATAAAGACGGTCGGAATTTATATATCGTAACAGGTTCCTAAAATTATACTACGATAACATAATCTGGCATTAGCATTCAAATACATACATGTACAATAATGTACATACGATATTGTAATTACAATTAATTTTTTTGATACTTTCATATTTAATGTAGACAAATCGTTTAAATATGCACACCATTAGAATGCACATTATAAAAATTTTCAACAGTGATAAACATTTGTTGTAAATCTTTCGAATTTTGATATTCTCTTATATTCATATGTCGGAGATGAAAGAACACCGGAGCCTTCCCTCTGGATCTTCGGGAAAATCCGTAAAATAGTAATTAAAGTCTACAGCTGTAATTAAACAATTTGCCGTCATTCTACCCAATTGTACTTATTTGCGAGTTGTGACAATAAGCTTGGGCTCGTGGCGACCATCAGTCGCCGAACGTAGCCGCGGTCAATGGGACGAACGCTCCGCCTAACAAAGGTATGGAGTAATAATATAGCCTTCATTAAAAGAAATACCCGTAGAGGTACTCGACAGTAAACATTCCAACGGTTCCTTCGGGCAAAATGATTACCAGATGTCGATGCACCTATACAACACAAGTTCAGCTAGCTTGAGGACCTGCTAGAAATCTTAGGATTTGTTAATTAAGGTTCTTCAAACGGACAAGCAGTCTTTGTCCCAAATTGAATCCGATGATCTCGTGTCCTTAGACACACCCCATCATAGCTTTCCTCTGTGGCATCATCGGGACGGGAAGTCATTCCTTCTTGCGATCCTCTCGACGAATAGAGTAACGCCTTACGATCAGTGAATATTACGCGTTTTATTAACAAAGAGTGCGACTTAGATTTGTGAGCACGTACATCTATCATCCCGTTGACCGCGGATTCGTTATTGAATCTAGGATCATTGTCATTAGCTTCCCGAGTATCTAAGTACCACGGTTATTTGTCAAGTTCTGTAATAATCGTATTTGCACTAGTCTTCTCTATTGCATAACGACAATGTGTAATCCAAATGAAGATTTGTTTCACGCCCCTAACCCTAATTCTAATGTAAACCCGACACATAAAATATTGCCGAGTATGAAATCAATCGATGCGCAACGGTTAATATATTTATAATCGATTTCTGATAAATCGTAGATGAATAAGATTCTGAAACATTTTTAATAATTGTCTTGTTCCTTAGTTATATAACATTTTTAGTACCTTCATATTGTACAATCATATTTTAAGATGATCATAAAACCGTTTCGATAAATTTCTCATTTCTAAATAATAGAGAAGCAAAGTAGCTTATGAAATATTTTTTTCAAGCACTTCTGTTAGAGATACTGCGCCGGCGATATTCGGCTGAAAGCAGTAACAATTATTGCGTAATAAACGTCTATAAAATAATTCATAAATAGTGACGTGAATAATAATTATTAACGAACGGGATTCTGACGTATAAAATAAAAATTTCATTCTTAAAATATGACTACAGGGACTGATCTTTCTCTATTAACAAAAGTTATTCTCTATATTTCGACAAGTTACATATTCCCCTGCATTCTAAAATTAACTTCTCGCGTTATTCTTTTCAGTATATTCAATAACTCGAAAGTCTTACTTATTTATCGGTCATCGGAAGCGTGTCGTTATCATTCATTTCTAAGCTACTACGTTTCCATTGAATGACGCTATATCGTCGACATTTGTTTAAACCTGCGGTCTCAATTGAAAAAGGACATCAACGATGCTTTCATCGGCTAATGTTGATATATCACCGACGTTTCTATCCCCTGCTGCGATTTTTCTAAGTATACGTCTCATAATCTTGCCCGACCGTGTTTTTGGCAGTCCTGGCGCGTGTTGAATCACATCTGGTTGAGCGAAGGGGCCGATTCGCTCGCGCACTATTGATAACACATTCAGATTAATATGTTTAAGAACGATAAATTAATTATAGGTTGAAATTATATATTCTTAACTACCTCTCTTTTTAAGCTCATCTTGAAGCTTTTTGTCAAATTTGGCACCCTCGTTGGGTGTAACGAAACAATGAAGGCATTGTCCTTTGACAGAATGTGGCTTACTAACTACCGCAGATTCAGCTACAGAAGGATGTTCAGTCAATACACCTTCTACTTCTGCTGTAGACATAAGATGACCAGACACATTTAACATATCATCAATACGACCAGTTATCCAAAAATAACCATCCGCATCACGTCTAGCACCTGAAATTAGAAGAAATATGTACATATAAACTTGCTCGTGCATATTTTATAATAAAAATTATCATTCCACACAGATAAGTAACACGAAATGTTTCACATTACAAGTCTGCCATATAACTAAAATATTGTTTCAATTAAGAAACGAAACATATGTCGGACTTCGACTGTTTTATTTCAAAATGGCTATAACCATGGTTTAATTTATAAAAACTTCCGTTAAAAAATTCCCAATAGCAGCAACTTATGTACCTTCATCAACCACATTGACATTTTTCCAATTTCTCTTCGATTCAGGACCGTATCTCCTGACAGACATTTAATTAAATATCATTTATAAACGAATTTCAAAGAAAATACAGAATGCCTATTCAAAAGGTTAAAGCTCGCCAAATTTTCAACTCCAGAGGTGATCCGACTCTGGAAGTGGACATAATCACAGACGTTGGATTGTTGAGATCTTCCGTACCATCTGTTTTGGTACCAAACCCTAATCAAGCGCAAGAACTAAGGGATGGAAACGAAGCTATGTACCATGGACGTTCAGTATTCAGAGCTGTTGACGTAGTTAATAACATAATCGCACCGCAACTATTGAAGTCGAGGTTGGAAGCTTGCCAACAAATGGAGATAGATAGCTTGCTAAACCGTCTAGACGGAACCGAGAATAAATCGAAACTAGGTGCAAATGCAATTCTTGGTGTTTCCATTGCCTGCTGTAAGGCTGGCGCCGCGAAGAAAGGACTTCCAGTTTACAGGTAATTAGTAGAACATTAAAATAATCAGTCACAGCTTAACGTTACAGATACAAAGCGTATAGCTTTTATTAGCCAAAAAATGTTTATTTTTAATCAACTACGCAATCTATATCAATTTCAAAGCAGATGGAGAGATATAAAAATTCTGTAGTTAATTCATTTAATTACGTGCGTCTCTCTCACTTGATTTTTTCTTTTATAGATATATTGCAGAATTAGCTGAAAATGGAGAACTTTATATCCCTGTTCCTAGTTTCAACATGATCAGTGGAGGCAGGCATGCGAATAACACGTTACCATGCCAAGAATTTATGATCCTGCCCATAGGTATTTTTATTTCCTTGCCTTGTTTGTGCATATTTTTAAATTTACAAACATATCAGGAGCTGAAAGTTTCGCTGATGCCATGAAAATGGGTATGGAAGTGTACAGAGTACTCGAACGGAAGATCGCGGCTGCTCAAGAAATCCAATTACCCCTTCCGGTTAGCGACAACGGTGCATTTACACCTTTAGAACTGGAAGAAGATAAGGAAGCTTTACTGCTGTTAGATGAATCTATTAAAGAAGCAGGTTACGAAGGAAGAATTAAGATAGCGTTGGACATGGCAGCCAGTGCCTTTTACAAAGAAGGTTAAGAATGATTAATAATTACAGAAGCTCAGCTATACGATAAGCTACGACTTAACAATATTCAACAGAATTTTGTCTATACATTTAATAATTAGAAAACAATAATAATATATCTTTTTTTGATAGGAGGATACGATTTAGCATTTAAAACGGAAGAGTCTGATCCTGATGACTATATGGAGTCAGAAGCGTTGAAAGATCAGTACTTGGAATACTTAACAGAATTCTCATCTCTCGTCTCCATCGAAGATCCATTCGATCTCGACGACTGGGATGGTTGGCTCACGTTAGCTGATCAAGATATCCAAGTCGTTGCAGACGATTTAACTGCGATGAACATTGACAGAATCGAGGAAGCGATTGAAAGACAAATGGCCAACGCTATGGTGCTGAGAATGTCACAGGTTGGAACCGTGACGGAGGCGATCAACTGCGCAAAAATAGCGAGGATCAGTGACTGGGGTTATATCGTGACGGCTTGCGAAGGAGAAACTGAAGACAACTTTGTAGCTGATTTGGCTATAGGACTTTCTGCTGGACAATTTAAAGCCGGAGCACCCTGCAGAAGCGAAAGAACTGCTAAATACAATCAAATATTAAGAATCGAAGAGGAACTTGGAAAGGATGCAAGATACGCTGGTCTCAATTACAGGAACCCCTTGGCTAAATAACTCTTCACTACGTTCCAAAAATCTTTCTACCATTGTAAAGTTAAAACTGTTAAGCTTACCATCTCCCGTGCAATAATATCCATGAAATTTATCGAAATATGTGCTTTGGAAACGTTGATGATTTCCATGGAGAGACCTCATCATTCCTGGCCAAGGTTGGCGAAAAACTAGATATCCCTCGCCTTCGCCTTCGATTAATCGTCCGTCTTCGTCCAGAATTTCTGGCAAAACGCCAAAGAATGGGAACGTCTACAAAGTATCAAATATATCAATTACATATTTCACTGGTTTGACGAATAATAAGAAGTACAAAATAACAACTTACTGCAGAACCTGGTTTCATTGGAGTAGCACCAGGAAGAGGAGTGATCACGTGGCCACCAGTTTCCGTTTGCCAAAACGTGTCTGATATACTGCATTTTCCATGACCCACAAAATTATAAAACCACAGCCATGCTTCAGAATTAATTGGCTCTCCAACCGAACCCAAAACCTGAAACAATAAATTATTTTACAATTTCAATCTTCTTAGTGTAAAAACTATATTGTATATATTCCTATAGATATCTCAGTGTCTTCTTTTCCTACTTTGACTTACCTTTAAAGTAGACAAATTATGTTTCTTTACCAAATCATCTCCAAACTTCATTAGCGATCTAATTGCTGTTGGCGCAGTATAAAATTGCGTGACTTTATATTTATCGATGACTGCCCAGTATCGATCATTTCCTGGATAAAACGGTGTCCCTTCAAACTGTAGATTATACATTTATCAAGACAAACTTATTATTACATAGTAGGCATTTTGAATCAAAGAAAAAATAAAATATCTCCAGACTCACAATAATAGAAGTAGCTCCATTTGCTAACGGACCATACACGACGTAAGTATGACCAGTGATCCAACCAACGTCAGCTGTACACCAGTACACGTCACCAGGGTGATAATCAAACACATACTTAAACGTCGTGGCTGCATAGATCAAGTATCCGGCCGTCGTATGTAGAACGCCTTTTGGTTTCCCCGTGGAACCACTGTGCAGGAAGAAATATTTCAGAGTTATTTAAGATAAGAAAGAAATTGTTATATATTATTGTAGTATCGTGGACAAATGGCCTAAGAAATATCTGGTGAATCATAAACAATATTGCGGGAAGAGCTAAGTGCCGTTAGAAAGAGCCTGGCAGTTTTTATCGGGGAGTCGAGTGCGGAGGAGTCGAGTTGAGTAGTCGTGAGTTGAGAGTTGAGGCGTGAGGAACCGAGTAGTCATGAGTTGAGAGTCGAGAGTTGAGTTGCCGAGTTCTTACGAGTTGTAAACTATTAGTTGTGAGTTGTGAATCAACTATGTAGTTCTAGCACATTACTGTATTTAGTTCACGTTATGTAATCATCGTTTCTTATCTAATCCATTGTAAATAGATCTATCGATCGATAAACTTATTACATAGGATAAATAAACAATTCCTATATTATATTATTCATACACTATTTTGTTGGGAAATATACCTTGTGTATAAAATAAAAAGTGGATCTTCCGCATTCATCCAAACTGGATAACACTTGTTTTCAGCATCTTCCACTTCATCGTGCCACCAACAATCGCGGTTATCGTCCCATGGAATTTGTGGGATGTTAGAATCATTTCCATCGCTCGTACCGTTCACTCCATTCGTTTTTTCTTCAATACGAATTCAAAAAGTTAAGTCTTAGATTAATAAAAAAGTAATCTCTGTTTTATCTCTTTTCCTTTTCTAGTTATATTTTCATCTTTTGTTTTGTATCTGTTAGGTACATTTGTGTCCCGATTTTTGCTATCCACGTTAATTCTACGATTATTATTAACTGAAAGTCTTTATTCCACTATACCTGTTGAATGTAGCTTGGCACCGTGTGGATTATTCAGTCTTCTCAAATGTGCAACTACTATACAACACTCAACCACGTGGGTATACTTTTTAACTTTCTTCAAAGCATCGTCACAGATCGTCTTCAAAGATATAAGCTTCTCGCCCCTCCACACACCGTCAGTCGTAATCAGAATTTTCGCTTTTGAATCCATGATACGCTCCGCCAGCGCATCCGATGAGTACCCTCCAAACTAATTGAACAGTCGTTTTATAGCATTTTCCATTTTTATGGCGATATTATGAGATATTAAAGACATTTAGTTTGGACTTTAATTAATTAAAAGTTACATGTTTCTTCTATCATACCAACGACATTAATATTTTTTATATTTATAGAGATTTATCAAGACTTAAAACAAGTTCTACTATAAGAATAAAATAGCCCATATATTATTTTATGGTTTAAATACAACGTTTATATTTATTTAACGTTTTAAATTTTATAACTGAACATGTATTATACACTAAAAGATAGAAGTGATCTGGTACTCTTATTCACTAAGGTATTATGTATGACATTTTTAATCTGTGGGCCTTTTAGCTTTATTGATCTCAGTTTTCCTTCGTCGTAACTTCAACAAATATGTCTAATAAATATAACTACACGTAAACAAAGTGTATATTTTTACCATAAAAAATATTGATATTATCCGTTGAGCGAAAGTAATTATTGCACTGCAATTTTTCTTTTCGTCTTGTTTTTTGTCTTATATGTCGATGGTATGACGTTACGTGTGATATTATGATACGCCTGTTAATTATCTCGAACTTAAATGGAAAGGTAAAGTAGATTATTGTTAGCATTGCCTGTTCGATGTTGATGTAATTTTTACACACATCTCTTACGTAATAAAAAGAAATTATATGACATTATTATAGTTAGAGAAAAAAATTCTGTCCGGAAATTAAACGAAAAAATGAACAAATATCAGAAAAATTCTTAATTTAATCTTTTAAATATTTACTTTATCCTGTCCAAAATATGTACGTATACGTAATATTTATAACTGGAGTAATCTACATTTTTTTTATCTTTTTTTTATCCATTTTTATCTTTCTGAATAGCAATAATACGTCAATGCTGATACAAAGCGATACGAATTTACAAATCAAATAGTTAATAACGAGCTTTGTACGTTGTATGTCAACAGGAAATCGCATTATGTAAAATGAGATAGTCTCAGGTTCTATTAAGCTACGATTTGAAATCTCATGGTTTCTCTGGGATTAACAGAAAAATTCTTTACCACTACGCTGTGAACAGCGCCGATTCTGGTACACGCGAGCATGGCAATAGGCAGTTCCAGGATCATAGGCATGTAAATCGCAACACGATCTCCCTTCGTCACTCCTTTGGATTTTAAGACATTTGCAAACCTGCATACTTCCTCCAATAGTTTTCTGTACGTCAGACGTGAATAATCGTCCGGGTCGTTGCCCTCCCTAAAATATGAATACATCACTCGATTAATTCCTGATAAACGTCATTCATTGTTACTTTTGAACCGAATTGAATGCTTCTAAGTAATCCTCATGACGAAATATACTTGTCTATGAAAGATTGGGAACACAAGTGTCAATGAACCAATTACCCACTAATTGATCTATGCCTTAGGAATACGCATAATGGAATAAATTCAGCTGCGTTTAACTTCTTAAGACCTTTTCTTATTTCGTTATTTCATTGTATACATTTTTATAACATTAAGTCTAAAAAACTATTTTTCAATAAGAATCCTCTATTTTTGTATTTATCATAAGTGATCAAACTTATTATATAAATTATAAAAAATTAGTATCTCCTCATCTATTAAGTAACAATATAATCAGTAGTACCTCATCTATCAAGTAACAATAGTCCAAAAATAGTCAGTTTAACTCTCAGTTCACACACGCGTGTTAAAGAAGTTTAAAGTTCAAGTTTTATGCTTCTCAAATATTCCACGTGTTAGAGTATTTTCGTATGTACTTTGCCCCGATATTTATGATTAAGTCCAATTTTGATCATACCCGGTAGATTTAGCAACTACGACCTTATGAATTTATCTATGCACCTTACGTGACGATAACGAGTTTCTTTTTGAATAAATACATTTTAAGGCCATTCAAAATCTTTTTTCATAATTTAAACATCGTTCTCAGATGCTCCACTTAACACTTGATTACAAGAATGATAATACTGGATTTTACATATAACTTACAATACATATAACTGGATTTTAAATGTGCTATAAAAAATGTGCTTTAATTACTATATTTTAGAAACAAAACTTCTCTCTCTCTCTCTCTCTCTTTCTCTCTGAATAAATAGACATTAAAGCCATTCAAAGTCTCGTTTTCAGACGGAAATAATTTTCTTTTTAAACTAGTGCTTGTTTACGAAGACAACAATATAATTCCATCCAATTAGTTACCATGAAACAGTACTTTGCATTTAAAACAACATATACAAATTTGTGATTTCACGTAAAATTCAACAATTTTATCAGGTTTTTATGTAATACCTGACTGCTTGTTTGTCAAAGCTAAGATTCGCTATAATACGGTTCAATGATAAGAATCACATCTATACCCATGCCTATCAAAAAAAAAGAGATTAACCAATGCCACATATTAAATATCAATACGATCACGTGAAAATTGTAATAGTTGTATAAAAATCGTAATCGCTATTCTCTTACTGACTGGCCTGATAACATGCTCGATTAACGTTCTTCTTTGAACAGTTTAGACTTTGTTTTGTACATATCACATTCAAAAAAACAACATTTCCTACATTCATGGTAATTTTTTAACGGTGTTTTAATTCCATACATGCTTTCACACGTATACCTTTTCTGGATTTAAATTTCTAATTAACAGTTACTTTCAGAATTACTAATGCCAGTTAGTGTAACTACTGAGGTACTTAATAGTACGAATAATATCTGCAGTCTAAAAAAGAAATATCCCAAAATTAAATGTCCAATGGGAAATACGTAATACCTACAAGCCTTGTAGAAATAAAAATTTCAATAATCACGATAAGTAATGGAAATACTTTGCTTTTGTATAATCAATTAAATTATACGTTCCATAATTTATATAATGTTCGTAATTGCCTTCTTTCGTTCATTTACTAAATGATGTAAACACAGCTATTAATCAAGAATTATAAAGAATTTTATAATTCCTTCTTTGCGTTATGTAACTCTATTCGAATTATATTCGTAAATAACCATACTACGCGCGCAAACTTTGATTTTTGCAGCTGCCACGTTTTGAGAAACACATAAGACAGGCATATTATCCAGTCACGTGAGCTAACGTGATCGTACCACGTGCACACGACCAATCAGGATATCGTAACTGGTAGTGTGCCAAATTTTGAACGAATAGCAGAGCATCGTACGACAAGCACAAACGATAGGATAGAGAGAACAAGTGTTTGACTCACTGATCGATTGTATGAGCATAGGATTTCTCCACCAACTTTTCTACTGCCGCTCACTATCTGAAATGATAGCGATAGAAAAGTAGAAAATCGCGACCCGTTGAAAAGTATTCGATATTCGACGCCTGGTATAGTCTGGTATAGCAATTGCTGAACATTTCTTCTAGTAATATAAAATTAAAATAACTGTATATACAAACGAAAATTAAAAAATATACTAATACGACATTCATAAAAATAAAACAAGAACGAATAACAAAATTTTTTTTTACATAACTTTCGTTTTGGAGGTCTTAGTCAAAGTAATATATTCAAAGGCAATATACACTTTGTACGAAGTATTAATTTTATGATATATAAATTATTAATCTCTATTGGTAATACATTTTTGTGTTAAAGTTTATATTAGATCATGTTAGAACTTTTAATAACTCTAACAAGATAGATATACAGTATACGATAACGTAATTTTAATGTTAAATTTATGATAAGAAAAGACTAAAATATCCTAAATTGATTAATTTTAGACAATAAATAAATTAACCAATATAAATACCTTTTTCAATTATAACTGCCTTATCATGAATAAAACCAAATTAATATCAAGTTCAAAATAGAAATATTTTTCAGAAATCAAACAATTTTTATCTAGATCTAGTTTACAATGTACTGCTTCTGTAAGAATAGACGATATTCCTCTTTTCTAAGATAAAATATCAAAAGAATATTTGGAAAAAGAATTAGAGAGAAGTACGTTGTGGAAATGCTTGGGTCAGTCAGTAATGTCACCCGACACTTTCCAAATCGCGTCCAAACACGACGAATAGTAGGTACTACAATGAAAATAAAGAAATTGTATCACTTATGCAACACTTGAATGACTTGCGTGTACAAACGACGGTATATTTTGCATAGCAATGAACCACTGAAAGCAGCACCGTTCAAACGGACGCTTTGAATAATTGTATTTAAGCTATTTAGTTCAGAGAGATACCAAGTTGCGCTACGTGTCGAATGAAAGTCCCTGGTGAACGTAAAAGCGTACACGCATAATGTTTTATGGTCTTTCAATAATAAGCACAGAAGCTACTACGCCAGAACGCTGCTCCTGTAACGGCAGATTCTTTTAGATTTTTGTGATACTCGCGAGAGGTTCGTTTCAAGTTCATATAAAAAACGAAATACGCCCATGAATTTTTTGTTTGTGGAATTTCTACGCTCGTTAAAACATTTGTGTAGTTAAGTACATGGTGTTCTCGTTGAATATTCATAGAGATTTCTCGTGAACGAAAAGTAAGAAAGTAGGATATTTTACATACAGTAGTTAAAAAATTAGAATTTGAAAGAAAGAATTTTTACAATGATTTTGAAAAACAGACATTTCAAGGTAAAATGTTCAAGTATGGCGTAAGACAAATAAAAGATTGGTAAAGAAATCTTTTTGCTAATCCACGAATATCATTAAGCGACGATATACGAACAGTGAGATTTCTTTTGAAATCGATTACAATATTACATATAATGTATTGCAAAATAAAAATGTGAAACAAAATTAAGTATTAATGAAATTCGTGCTAATAGTAAGTCAACGCCTCTGTTAATAAATTGAGATAATCCCTTTGGTTGTGTATATGTTAATCTTCGAACAAAGGTGTCTTCGACTGCTTTTTAACGCGTTTTTGATGATATATTGAACATCTGCGATATGGATATAGAAAGCCATTCGTTTTATTACATATATATTTTCTTAACCGAACAAATAAAGATCCTATGAAATATTAATTGCTTAAGAGTTTCATACACACTTATAAAATTATCAATAAAATATGTGTATCTATACAATGTAACGTACGTGGATATTGACGATACTATTTAATAAAAAAAAAAAAAAAATAAAAACAGAAAAGAGTACACATATGAATTACTCTTATCACTCCTTATTCTCAGACAAACATATCGTGTATTCCTTTTTTCAGGCGCATCAGTTACACGAATCAATCGAATGTACTGCAGATTTCATAACAATTAAAATTCCTATGAATGTATTGACCGATAAACGAATAACAAAAAGAAACGAGACGCCTTACCAATAAAACGCAATCTTGTCGCCGTTTCCACTCTTCACATTTTTGTCCAATAGGTTGAAGCTGATGTTCGTTGACGCACCCTCCATCCATTTTATGAAAATATCTCCCTTGCTCAAGTCGAAATTATATGAAAAGAATTTATCATCCACTGCCGGAGTTTCCCAATAAAACTGTTTTGCAATTTCGCTCCAGAATTCTGTCGGATTCTTCACAGACCTAGAAACGCAAAAGACCATGAGCAATCTTGAAAGAATTTCTTTTAATACGGTTAAAGGTATGTCAAAAACGAGCTTGTTTCATAGATCGGTTGCGTTATATTCCACATGGTTTATCGTTATAATTCTTGTAATATATTGATAATCAAGAAATGATTGATATTGGTACAATAATAAAATGTGTAACAAAGAGTCTGATTAAGTGCGATTGTGATTTAAACAACGAAAGAAACGAAAGGATTAGAAAACATCAGTTTTGAAATTTTTAATACATTTTAAATGATTGTAAGACTGAAGAATGAAAGATCGTGATAAGACTAAAATAAAATAAGAGATGGAGAAGTGAGAAAACGAGATTAAAGAATGATTTCAAAAATATTAAACAATTAGTTAATGATGATAATAGTAAGCTTTACTGCACTGTCGTTTTTGTGGTGTTACAGTAAGTCATAGGTAACGCAGATGCGATACAATGATTAATTAGAATTTAATTGAGATTTAAATTTAGATAGGTTTTATAGGGAAGTTAAAAAGCGAATTTCTTTACGTCCTATCAAAATGAAATGTTATTGAAAGGATGATTGATATAGCGATAATACTCTATGAAAGAATCATTCATTCAGTAGGCTTTTACAGTTTATAGAAAATTTGAAGGACAAAGATAAGAAAATATTTCATGTTTATTAAGTTAAAAGATATTAGAGATTTAATTATTACTGAATTAGTTATAGATGAATGTGACAGCCCTTTTTTATGAAGATGTAATTAAGTACGATTTGGAATAAAAAAACACTTCATTTGTGTACAGACATAAGATTCATCTAAGTTGTAAGTTTTTTCGAGGTCATTGAAGACACAAATCCTCAAGATGGGTAGAAATTGTTTCTTATAGAAAGACGCTAGACGGATCGATATCATTGTTCTATTTCCATAATACACAACTACCGTGTATCACTACGTAAAATATCTGCAATATCTAAATGTCCAAATTTTCTTTCAAACTTTGTACAGGTTTTTCTTTAAAACATTTTTAATACTGCCTTCATTCTTTAAGGTACATTTAACAATTATAGCTAAAAAATTAAGCAGCCCTATATATTTTAATTTAAACAAATAAACGAAAATGTAAAACTTATTAATATTTTCACTCATTGGCATTTTTATTACTAGCATCTTAAACAGTCAACATTAGAAAATTCGATTCAATTATTCAGAACAGTTGGTATTATTATATTCAGATACTTATTGGTAATTATATAATCTGTATGGTTCCTGGAAGATGTCAGTACAAATCATGCTTCAAAATCAATTTTTCTCAAATAATAGCTCCAGCATATACACAGGGTGCACTTAATAAATACGTTGACACTTTATTTACGATTAATACACACACGTTACCATCTATCAGTATTCATCCTCTTTCATTGTCCCCTACTAATTCTAACACCGCTGCACCTAATTGCATAGACCGTAAAACAAATCTTCCATTACCTACGAATAAATGCGAGATTAACTTCATCGAACAAGTTGTCAGTGATTTATAATTAAAACGAAACCATTAAATCGATTATTCGAAAAAAATGATACTATTCAGTTGGAATTACAAATATTTTCGCCAACAGACTCTTAAATTTCATATTTTCATTCATAAATGGTAGATAAAATTAGGAACTTTCGACCGAGCTGTCCCTTGGTCAACATTATTGATTCGCAACAGCCTCAACGTTCCACCTAGAAATAACACTCTTCACAGGAGTGCCACTAAAACTTAAGAACAGATCCCGATTTGTAATTACAGAAACTACTATTGAAAAAGTAAAAGCGCGAAAAGAAGTTAACAGAAAGGGAATGAAAAACATCATCGGCGAGATGTCAAAGACTACACCGTGCCATCTGTCATCATCCCTCTTGTACCGACTAAGCTGGACAAGACGTCTCTTATTTCAAATAGAAAACACTTACTTTTCATGCATATTTCTGTATTGTTCCATGCTGCTGCAGTGCGCATTTTTCGCGATTTCAGGATTGGGGTAGTACAATCTGTCCGCCATCTTCCTGGTTCCAGTGTTTCAAGTTTTAACCCTTTTCAATTCCACGATCCTTTGGCTTAGGGGGCTCGAGTAGTTAATCGATAAAGTGTAGAGTGGAAATCCAACGACGACACTTGAATGCGTAATTTTATACAACTCGTTTTGTACTTTTTTTTGTTTGAAATGAATACGTTGCAAAGGATAAAGGACGGATACCACGATTAAATTTAAGGTGAACGGAGGAGGCACTGCAGTTACTTGGAAGCATGCACCTCCGCTCTCTTTTTCGTTACAGCTCGGCTGATAAACCGCGACTGGGCTAGATTTGCAATCTGGCAATACCGTCGACCAATGTTGGCGTCAGTGTTGAGAGGGAAGGCGCTGTCAGGGACGTATCTCCTGCCGTGTCGCTAGTGACCCACGGTGGACTTTCCGCTCAACCATTTGATATTTTGGCTATAAAAAGATACAGAATCATATAATACTTCCTGGAATCTCTTGCACAATAATTTGTCAAGTTACAAATTGTTTGTTACAAACTTTGTTTCTTACAATATTATAATTTTACGTGGAATAGATAATCAAATAATTCATTATTCATAGAATTTGATTTGTTTTATTACCAAACCTGATTGACGCGTTATAGAAACTTTATCAATAGTAATAATTTGTAAAGTTTCACTGATAATATCAAACCCATTCTATCATAATATAAGAAGATTCAGACATCATGTTTAAGTATAGAATTATAACATGTATTGCAACGTGTTGCACACTAAGCCCATTTTTTGCAAAACAAAGTTCTTTTAATAGATATAACAAATACACTGTGTGTATCATCAGTAAAAAATAAGTATTTTATGTCTTTGTGTTGTGTCTCTTAATTGATATGAACGAGGTTCTTGACCGAGATAAATAATATTGCACATGTTAAAATATAGTTATATAATGTTACTACGTACATTTGGGATAATATGTTGAATATACGTATTATATAAGTTTGTAAACTTTGAAATGTAGTTTACCAATTGACTTGAAATGCCTGGTCGCATGTTGCGCAATGCGAATGCGCAGGAGTTAGACAATTCCAAACTTACCGACACTCAAGTGATCAAACTTAACCTTCTTATTGCCTTTTTTCCATTAATTGTATCATGTTACTTATTTATTATACATATAAATATATAAATTACGAAACTGTTTTTAAATAAATTTTACACTAATTCCCAGAAAAAATATTCTGGTATAATAAATATATTTGATACTTTTATCGCTTCGTAATTTCACAACCATGTACAATGTCTGCTAAGTATCAAATAAAATTATTAAAAAATATTATTACTACGACAAAAGATTAGAAAGATTAGACTTAGCAAATTAAATTGCCAGCAAGATTAGAAGTTACCTACTGTACCGTGCGATCGGCGGTATTTCGATTTGAATGCATCCATATTGATCACGTGACCATGCATTCGATATAGCGTGAATGTACATAACCTTTTTCTGAAATTTTCAAAACAAAGAAAATAAAAATGTATTTTTATTGATTACACGTAGTTGTATGGTATTCCCTAATACATTGTTATACAAATTTCTAAGGATAATATTGTCGATACGATATTATCGTCTACTTCCTGTTGCTTTACGCCCATCTTACTGACGCCTTTAATTACTTCATTCTCATTTGAAAACGCGTAAATAAAGTACGTACGTAAACTGTTCCAAACTCATGAAAAATATTATTTCAATACAGACATAAAAACAATTTTTTAAGTAGCTTAACATAATTTTTCACTAGCAATTGCATATCTCGTTAATGGATTGTTCGTTTATACATTTTTATTTTTGATGAATGACTTTTATTAAGTCATATGAATTAAGTAATTAATATCGAAACTATCGTTGATATACTAAAAATTATAACCATAGTAATAAGATGAAAAGATAGTTACAAATCTAATAACGAATTGAAATATGTTTTTCTTTAAACTATTAATGCTCTTCATATCGATCTTCGCAATCACAATATTTCCAGCATTATTAGTCAATTACGAAGAAATTGGACTATCAATAAACTGATATGTATAACAAATGTTCTCACGTACATATTCATATATTCATATGTGTATTCTTGCTTCCTCTAACCTTTTACCGACCGTTTCTATGATTTCTCACTATCGATAATGCAAAATGCGGATTTGATCACATACCGTATTCTTGATCAAACACTTCAAAACCACTGATACGACGATTATAAAACAATGATATAAGAGTCGAAGTAGGATCAATTTACATACTCTTACAGGATATGTAGTTGGAATTTTTATTGCTTTGTCGTGCACGTAACGGTGAACGATATCGATCTTGAATCTGACAAGGACTCGATCATTATTGAACGGTTGGTAGTCAATAAAACATGGCAAGGACTCGATCCAAGGTTCGATCGTAATCGTAATAAAAAGTTTCTCTTGCTTGATAATTTTACACGTGGAATATACGTTTCGTTTCATCATTAATATTAATTTTGTTTATATGTTTACAATATTTTTATCATTGTTTTCATTATTATTATTATACGTGTTGTAATAATATCACGTATTTATCAAAATATTTGTACAGTATAAAGATATAACGAACGTAATTTGCAGGGTTGGATCGGGAATAAAATTTTCCATTTTCAGTTCATTAATTAAATTCTACATAAAGCGGCCCCACGTCTCTACCGGCTCATTCGGAGTTTTCTCAAAAATTCTGGCCACCGCTCCTGTCAGTTTGGATAAGAAGTTAATTATAAACTTGACGAACTTTCTTTGGCAACTTCCTATGTGTTGAGGTTATTCGATGTGTAAACAGAGGAAACTCGTGGATAAATTGTAAGGCAGAAAATATATTTAAATAGAGGTGTAATTATAAGTAAAAATACAATTTGAGCTGGTGTAGATCCGCACGCTAGCTGTGTTACCCAGTAACTGAAAACCCCGGAAGCCAACGTCGCCTGTCTACTGTTTATGGTCTGACTTCGTCGCAGTCTTTTGTCTACGCGCTGTCGATGGCTTCGGTGCTTGAAAAAAATAAAAAGACCAGATGTAGAGTTTTCAACACTATGTAATTATTTTCGCAGAAAGAAATTAATAATTTGATGTTCAAATATTTGACACAAAAATTTCTTTGTATTATTGAATTGCATTGTGTGAAATAATGTCAAACGAATAACATTCTGACAGATGTGTGAATATCTGAAAGGAAATGATATTTCAAAAATGTACAGACAACGATTGATTTATTATTATATTAATCATTAACATGTTTAACCATACAGACTTAATGGCAAGAATTAGATTTATCTTTCCAAGCTATTTTTGATGATAAGGATTATAGAGAAGAACTATACTTAATCAGGGTGAAATATGGTACAAAATTGGCCACACGACACTATTAATACTTACTTGCGTTCTGTACATAATTATGAAATATTTATGTTTAATATCTTTTATCTTGTTTTTATGTAATTTTACGAACACATAAAATTATTAATACACGTTCGCGTTCTCTGCCTTATTATAAAATTTATGTTTAATATTGTTTGTCTCATTTGTATTATATAACTACAACATTTTCATGATATAATATCTTATCGTGAATGAAATATTTTAATTAAGACGCATACGTTTCCTTAATATGAATTTATGAAACATAGTAACACAGTAAGGAATCTGCACTAAGGAATATTTAGTTTTCTTCTAGGCCAAAATTTTTGTTTTATTTCTAAATATCTTTGTATTTTTTAAGCCTTAGAATATTAAACATAATCTCAATCTGATAACAGACTTTAGAAGATTTACTTTATAAAAAGAAAGGACCAATCAATAAGTTAAAATATTTGTAAAAAATTTGATTATTATAAAATGTAGAAGTAAGGTAAAAAAGCGTATTACAAAAAAGATTTAACTAGCTTCCAAGTGTTAAATTAGTATTATTTCCACGTTGACTCTTAATCGCATCTATTCGATAATGCCACCATCTGGCCAAGGAATAGAAGGACAATGCTAAGTGGTGTTCATTGTCCCATTTTGTACTCATACAATATGTAAAACAATACGAGGTCCGGCAACAATTTCATTTTTTTCGTATTCTTTCATTACAGTGGCAATTAATGGATGCGAATTACGTTATCTGATTTCATCGACTTGTCAAGTACACACTATCCCGGAGATACTCAATTATGGGTCGTTGCATTTGTAGCTTTAAAATGTACATGTAAATTTATCTTACGTATTATTGCGAGTTCATAAAACAAATATTGACAATTCTCATCAACGATACCTGTACAAAAATCCATATACATGGAAGTGACAACGACGAATAAATAACTGCTGCATCTTGGCGAAGAATAAAACAGGAGGAACATAGATAACAAAGATAAAACGGATAAAACATAAGAAGTAAAATAATTTCATAAACAACATTTTATCGAACGATATAAACTAACGAGTGTGTACGATAATATATTTATAAAATAAAATATATGTTGACTTCCTTTTCTTCTTCTGTTTCTTCTTTCCTCCCATTTTCTTTAATTAATATAATATTACACATGTACTTATTAATTATATATATTATTGGATATATTATTGTATATACTATTGTATATACTACATGTGTGCTTAAACTTAAATTTAGATTGTAAGCAAGATATTGATTAATATTTTACATCATAATATGAAAAAGAATAATATCTCTATAATATCCCTAAAAAAGAATAATAAATCGCAGGAAATAACATTTCAATGTTTAATTCTCATATCTCGAGCGAACTGAATTAATATGAATTATGCAGATTAATATGAATAAAAAATTATTCAAACTGGTTTGGGAAATGACAGAAGTAATTGAAGATATTTTGTCTCAAATGCGGAGCACTTTCTTTAAGTTGATGTCGACAACCTCAGAGTTTATCTATATTTTGAAACGGTATCTTCGAGGTCTTCGACCATCGACAGGCATCCGCTTCTTTGCAACCTTCCGAGAATTCTCATTGTCCATCCTGCATGCAAATGCGTCGCCCGTATCTTTTTTCTTTTTTGTTTACACTTATCTCACGTACAGGATATTTTTACCTGGCGCGGTTGCTCCCCGTTGTATATAAAGTCGCGGGAGGATTCACTTGGGACGCTCACACCTGTCTTGTATCTCGAAACCGTCAAGTTCATTTCAGGCGGAAAAGAAAGCGATATCGATTAGTCTGCGGTTCAAAGTCGCCACGAGAAAGCGCAACTTTCTCGGTGGAACATTGGCCGCGAATCGATCGCGTTGGAAAATTCTGAAGCCTCGCTATATTTCTGTAAATTAAACATTTATAAATTGGAATACTGACAGAGCTGTTTTAAATCGCTTCGCCGTGCGTTAAAAGGATAGTCGTGTAACAAAGAAAAAATCGATAATGAAGGATTACGAGTGACTGAAAATTTCAGAATAACAAATGATCGAAGATATTGGGAGATTAAAAAAATTGGAATATCAGAGAACCGCGGAATCGAAGGATCGAGTCGAATCGATCAGATGTTGAATGTTTCTGAGACGCATGGATAATACCAGGGACAGTGTTTAAGATCCTATGATAAATTTCCCAAAGTTTGATAGGTTCTCTCTTCGTCTAATTGTCGAAATGAAGTCAAATTCCACGACGCCAGCTATTCTTCTACATCTTCTTTTTCTTCTTGGAAGTGTTTATGCCACTGACAATGAGAAGAAACGATACGATGGTTATAGATTGTACAAAGTTTTTGTGTCAGATACTACGGGTTTAGAGTTGTTAAGGAACATGTATGACGACGATGGTTACCATTTGTGGCATCCACCGACGATCAACAACACCGCGGAAGTGATGATCGCCCCGGCAAAGATCCAAGAATTCATGGAAAAAGTGAACACGTCGAAGCTTGAACCAGAATTGATGATGGACGACGTGCAAAAGTATATCGACGATGAGAATCCTCGTGGCAATGTAAGAGGTGGTTTCGACTGGCTCGGTTATCACCGATTGGATTCTGTAAGACATTATTTTGTATTATTTTACTCGATAAATAGAATTGAAATATTTTTAGAATATCGATCCATAACTTACGATTTAAATTTTCTATTCTTTCTTCTTCCGTCGGTTCAGTTAGCATTGTTTATTTCACAAGTAAAAATATTTCGATATTACCATAAGAATTATAATAAAATTTCGAAATAAAAAAATGGTATCAAAAATGGTATTGTGCTATTGTAAACGATAACGTACTACCAATATTACTACAATGTTTTGGTAATATCATACAACACTGTTGTCACTCTATTTCACTGTATTTTACTATCATGTTTTCCTGCAATATTATTATTATCCCACCGTACTATATTTTCGCATTAAATTATCACCGTCTTACCATTCCATCATACTAATCGTATTACTATACCGCAATACTACGTGCAATTTACTAAGTATAAACTTATCGAATTAATTTATCATCAGTTATTAAGAATATAAAGTAAACATCGATAAATATAAAAACAGGATTCAATCTTGTTATATAATTGAATGATTTAAATAAAGTAATTAATCTCATCGTTTGTCCTTTTATAAGGCAACGCATTATTGATCGAACAACTTCCTTTCAGATTTATAGCTGGCTAGATTCCCTCGTAACGCAGTATCCTAAGATAGTAAAACCAATAACCGGTGGAAGTAGCTACGAAGGCAGGAGTATCAGAGGAGTAAAGATTTCCTACAAGGAAGGAAATCCTGGTATATTTCTCGAAGGCGGAATACACGCCAGAGAATGGATATCACCCGCTGTCGTCACCTATATCCTCAACGAATTGATCCTTAGCGATGACTCTCGTGTCAGATATATGGCGGAGTCGTACGATTGGTATATTTTCCCTGTATTCAATCCTGATGGCTACGAGTACACTCATACTGTGGTAAGGACGCTTTAATAGTTTTCGTACAACGCAAACAATGTTTCACTAGAATTTGTAGATAATCGATTAATATCGTTGCGAATACAATTAAAGGAATAACGTCTAGTCAGAGAATTGTTCTTACTCGTTCAAAAGGAACACCAGGTATATCTTGAAGATCTTGTATAATACTTTTCTCTGTTACGCAGATCGTGCCCATTTTTCCAATTCTTTTTCCATAAACCTTCCATAAATACACGAACATCCTTGCTGAAATTATTACATAATAATTAACGGTGAAACACAACGAGATTCGGATTGGAAAGAAAACGAACGATTGTAAAATCAGAAATCAATCAATTGCAAACAGAAATCTAGAGAGTGGCATCGCTTTTTGTTAAAAGTCGATTCGTTATATTATCATTTTCTTATCGAGAATACTCGACGGTCAATTATAATTTTAAGAAAATTGATGTAGATAAATCTATCCAGATAGTGTACGTTTTTGCACCAAATCTAGGTTTCATTTACACGTTCCTTTCATTCGTAATGAAAACTATTTATGTTATCGACGAAGAAGATAAAGTAGGTATTCACAAACGCTTGACGCAAATCGCTATTTAAACGATACTTCTTACGATAAGATCGTCGAACATCTTCTTTGAAATATTTTCTTCTGCTATCGGCCCGTTATCTATAGAATTAAGCAAGAGTTTAGAATTAAGCAAGAGCTTCGATCAATTTTAGTTCTCTGCTTCTATTGTCTTTTTTTTTTTTTTTTATTAAAACAAACTTACGCTCGATAAAAGAATATACCTGCAAAGTATATTGTTTTCTGGCTATTTAGAATCGTCTATGGCGGAAGACTAGAAGACCTTCCGGAAGGGGTTGTTACGGAGCTGATCCGAACAGAAACTGGAATTTCCATTGGGCAGGTAACGATCTAATACAAATAAAATAAAATTATCGTTACATTGTCTAGTTAATCGATACCTACTTCACGATATTATCTCTAATTTATGAACGCTGATAAATTGTAAATGAACGTAGATACTAACAATAATTGAGCATATTAGAAATCAATTTAGATATTGGAAATATTGGGTTGGCAACTAAATGATAGCGGATTTTGTCGATACCACCTAATGACAAAATCCGCAATCACTTAGTTGCCGACCCAATAATATTTACATTCTTAATTCGAGATTATTTTATCGAGATAAAACACTCGCTGAAAGACAATCACTAGGAATTGAGCTATCTATATTTTACAAAGGAAATAAATATTTGTCCTTCTATATTATTGTACTATAGATTATTAGATAGCAGAGGAATAAGAGATTCTTCATTCTTATACCTATTTCTCAACTCAGAGAATTGATTGTAATTTTAATAAATATTAAAAAAAAAAATTCTTATACCTTTAACGCTAAAGATCGATTCAGTGGCTGGTTAATGAATCAATAACAATTAATATTTTCATTGATGAATAGAATCGACCGATTGAAACGAATAGAATTATCAATTTCTCTAACATCAACGAAAAATCAGCGTGTCCTTTGAGTTTCGTTTTAAATAATATCCCATTGTTCTTCGGAGATCGTTTTTCAAGTCCAGAAAGTATTCCCGGTGTAAAAATACCAAAGATCTCTTTATTATAGTTATTCGTATCTCGCACTTACTGCTGAAAAGCGACGCTTCTGTTACGTTGCTCCTACCAATATTTTAGAAGGTGGTACCAGCCGAAATCCATGCAGCGATATATACCCTGGTGACAAGGCATTCTCTGAAACAGAAACAAGAACCATGTCACGATATATCGACAGCATCCACGACAAAATATTCTCCTACGTAGCGTTCCACAGTTACAGTCAATTGTTGCTCATTCCTTACGGACATACCAACAAGAGGATCAGCAACTACAACGATCTCTTCCAAATTGGAAATTATTCCATAAATGCTTTGTTGAAGAGATATGGAACCCGATACAAAGTTGGCAATATCGTCGACATTATATGTAAGTACATTATTCGAATGAAGTTAAGATATCAGAGTATCGTGATAATAAAATTATAGATAAAATTGTAGATAATAATTATAATAATAATAAATAGCCGAGATAAAAATATTGAAATATTATAATTAAACATCGTTTGTGGCAAAATCAGTCGAAGGCAAAGTGAGGTAAAAACGCGTGAAATAGCGCGAAAGTAGAGTAAAATAAAATACGAGAAAATTTCTGGGCTTTCGTTTCGATCGACTTAAATTTTGTATTCCTTTCAGACGTTGCATCAGGAGGTTCGATGGATTGGGTGCGGGGCACCTATAACATTCCCGTTACATACACTTACGAACTTCGAGACACAGGAAGATACGGCTTTATTCTGCCGGCAAGTCAAATTATACCCACCGCGAAGGAAACCTTAGACTCCTTGGTCGTTATGTTCCAACAGGCTGCAAAACTTGGCTATGGCACATCCGCGAATAACAGCACGTAGCGTTGAATTCCTACGATTCCGTGATCGTTCAATCAGATCCTTTTTATACAACGTTCCATTCTGTAAAATAACAAACTGCTGTTCGATACTGTGCAACATCAAGGTCACTTAATTTTAGCTACAAATCGCACATACGTAAAGGACCGTAGAGAAATAAAATATATCGAATAGATCGTACAATTTTCGTTGTTAAATGGTAATAAAGGAAATAAATAATTTTGTATTACTTGCAGAGCGGAAAAGATGGTCAGTACGTAGAGCTCGTACGTCGATGAAACTTTGCTTGATTATAAACACTGTCTTCTGCACATTTTTCTTATCTATATCTTCGATATTGGTCTTAAAATACCTTTACAATCTTCAACGATCGTAGTAATCAATTGGTCCGTTTACGGTAATCAATTTACAATCGCTTACGATAATACGATTACTTAAACACAGCATTATAATTCACACGCGCTTCTTTAATCTATGCAATCGTTCGAGCCAGTCATTCGCAAGCGTTACGACGTAACAATTTCTAGCACGATCTCATCGCGAAACAATGTTAAACGATCGATGCAAAGATGCAAATTGAATGCAACTGTGACAAAACGATAATGACGCTCTATGTACTTGCTACGGGCGTAATCTAAGACTTATTTACTTAATAACTTCATTAACTGCTGTTGCGTATAGTATATAACGATACGTGTATACAATAATAATTTCTTAATATAATAATAATATATAATGATAATTTCTCTATCTATAGATTCTCTACTTTTCAAACAAAAGATCTCGTTTCCGTCCCTATTCAATGATACCATATTTACGTTCGAAAATATTCATTAGGTTTCTATCGATTTTCAATTTTAATTTTGGAATTTAATATCAGAATCGCAGTATAGGATTTTACAATTATATCCATTTAAACGATTAGAAGAAGAAAATAGAGATGAAACATACCCATCTTCGATTCGAAACTATAATCCTTCCACTTCGTTGAACGATTTTAACCGAGTTATTAAGATTCAAAACTGTGAAATTGTATGTATTATTGTTTTAAAAAGAAAATGTAAAGTAATAGAGATACCAAGCTCAGAAGCTTCAAGTATCCAGGAATTAAAAGTCTGTAACTGATTGTGAAACGACTTTGAATGATCTGTGTAAGATCTTTTAGATAAAGAAGCCCACTCGAAATAAATCCGATAAGGTGATCCAATAAGGTATTTAATTAATCTATGATATGATTTTCGAATACCGATCAGACAGAAATAATCATTGGTGTCGTGTGCAGGTAAAACGTTTAAATACAAGGATGGAAGTAACGGCAGCACAATTTCCTCTGGTGATCATACAGGGTAAGATCATTCGTCGTGTTTTCTCTTCTCTTTAATATTTCTGCTCTCTCTTATAACTTCGCTTTCTTTATTTTAATATTTAATTTTAACTTATAATAATATAATATATATTATATTATAAATATAATATAAATGTAATTATATTACATTATGAATACAATATAATATAAATACAATATATAAAAGAATATAAATTTCTTCTCTGTATTTATTCGAGCGTGAGAAATTTCATCATCGTTGAGTTTTCCTCGACGCTTTGTCGAGGGTAAGATCATTCGTCGTGTTTTCTCTTCTCTTTAATATTTCTGCTCTCTCTTATAACTTCGCTTTCTTTATTTTAATATTTAATTTTAACTTATAATAATATAATATATATTATATTATAAATATAATATAAATGTAATTATATTACATTATGAATACAATATAATATAAATACAATATATAAAAGAATATAAATTTCTTCTCTGTATTTATTCGAGCGTGAAAAATTTCGTCATCGTTGAGTTTTCCTCGACGCTTTGTCGAGGGTAAGATCATTCGTCGTGTTTTCTCTTCTCTTTAATATTTCTGCTCTCTCTTATAACTTCGCTTTCTTTATTCTAACTCAAATTCGATTTTTTTTTTCATTTTGATCGTTAATATTTAATTTTAACTTATAATAATATAATATATATATTATAAATATAATATAAATGTAATTATATTATATTATGAATATAATATAATATAAATACAATATATAAAAGAATATAAATTTCTTCTCTGTATTTATTCGAGCGTGAAAAATTTCGTCATCGTTGACTTTTCTTCAACGCTTTGTCGATCGTTAAGGTTTTCGTGGAATTTCTTTTGTACGTCCTTTACATTCTGTATGATAGTAATAGGTTCGATCTTGTCCATTTCTTAGGAAGAGTATCATGTGGAAATTAATTTTCGTGGCTTTGGTCGCTTTGGCGACAGCCGAGAAAGTAAGGTACGACAACTACAAAGTGTTCCGTGTCGTACCTCAGACTGAAGAACAGGTGGAAGTCATACGCAACTTGGAAGAAGTTTCTGACGCGGTATGCACATCTACCTTAATATGAATATCATTATACGTTCAAAGAATCGACTAAAATATACTTCTTTCCGTTAATTTATCATTAAACCGTAATAAATCAAACGTCTAGCCCCGAAAAATTCTTCGAAGAACGAGCCAAAGGCAAACTATAGCGATTCGATGAACTCGATCAATTTTCCGAATATTTTCCTCTATTTTCTACGTTATTATCGTTTTTTAAAATTCGATAATAAAAATAGGGACCACGGTGATTCGATCGATTTAGTCAATTTGCATATTTAATTCCCAAAATTACCATTCGTTTTTCTCAAAATAATTATTCGTATAATCGACGTGAAAAAACTCTGAAATGTACAGTTCTCTTTCTGGAAAGAGTCAAACGCCGTCCAGCACCCCGCGGACGTGATGGTTGCCCCACACAGAATCCCCGACTTCCACGAGACCATGAAGATATTCAACATCCCCTACGACGTCTACGTCAGCGACGTTCAAGCTTTGATCGACAATGAAATGCCACCAGCTCAACCTTTGGCTACGTTCGACTTGAACCGCTATCATACGCTCGATGAAATCTACGCTCATTTGGACGATCTGGCCAGAGCAAACCCCGGCAAGGTGCAAGTGATCGTCGGTGGAAAAACGTACGAGGGTCGTCAAATCAAAGGAGTGAAAGTGTCCTTCGGTAAGGCCAAACACGGAGTCGTGTTGGAGGCTGGAATCCACGCTAGAGAATGGATCGGACCGGCTACCATTCTGTACATGCTCAACGAGCTTTTGACCAACAAGAATGCCGATGTCAGAACACTCGCTGAATCTCACGACTGGTACATCTTCCCTGTCGCCAACCCTGACGGATACGTGTACACTCACACGACCGTAAGTAACTTGAGAAACTCGAGCACCTCTTAATATAACGCGAACTTATGTTAGTCGAAACGTAGAAAGTTCTAAATGCGGATCTTTCCTCTTTCAAAATGTTCTATTCTCACGACTGTTGATTTAGAAGAGCGGGACTTGTCCCATTGTCGATAAATTTTCTCTGTTTGATATTTTTGTATTAAATCGGATCTCTAACGATAAAATAAATATCGCTGGAATCGTGGCAAACAACTCACGTTGTACGATGACGAGTTCGATAACGATAGAATAATTCCAAGTATTAATTTTCCAAGATGAGAAATAGATGAAATTTCAATGTTATTAATAATAGTTTTCGATGTAATAAATTCGACGATGTTTGTATTTCAGAACCGTATGTGGAGAAAGACTCGCAAACCATACGGTGTCTTGTGCTACGGAAGTGATCCTAACAGGAACTGGGGATACAAATGGATGTGTAAGTTCTTGATATATAAATAAACCTTAAACGTTGAGATATGTAAAAATCATATAAGAAACATTCTCTCTTTATCCTACAGCTGGTGGTGCTAGCAACCAGCCATGCTCCGAAACTTACGCTGGAAGCTCTGCATTCTCCGATATTGAAACGAAAAGTCTATCGGAATATTTAACGTCAATCTCTAGCAAATTCTCTGCCTACGTTGCTTTCCACAGCTACTCTCAGCTTCTGATGTTCCCCTATGGCCACACCAAACAGCATTTGGAAAATTACGACGACTCTGTAAGTAGAGGCTTAATAAACTTATGTATTATTCCATTAGAGGTTATATCTTACAGCTTTTTCTTACCTTCTCCGTTTTTATACATCTATCATATATCGCGTTTCTTGCATAGAAAATAAAAATAATATATTCATAGTATACACGGCGGTTTCGTTTCGTAAACATTATATTCCCATCTTTCTTCGATTTAATTTTTCATTTATCGCATTTATCGCGCAGAAATTTCATCGACATCTCTGATTTTATCGCGCATATCTCGTTACTCAAAGAGTAATTGGTACTTCGCTTTACTTTACCGATAATAACGGTACCATTTTTTTTTTCGGTACCGATCTCGATCGATAAAATAACGAACGTGCTCTTTCAGCTGCAAATCGGCAAGAAAACGATCCAAGCTCTTGCTAAGCGCTACGGAACCAAATACCAGACCGGAAACATCGCCGAAACCATCTGTAAGTACACGTTTCGCTCATTTAAATACAATAGACGAAACAATGATAGCTAACTAATACATCACGCGACTGATAAACGAATCGATATGAAATAAAAGATAATTTTCTTCGACGTGGACGTGAAGTAGTAATTAAATATAAAATTAATACAAGTAAATTAATTAACCCGATAAGGCTTTTTCAATTGATTGATTGATAACGATATTTACCTTTATTTATTGCTACGTATCATTGTCTACTTCTAGATGTCGCGAGCGGAAGTTCAATGGATTGGGTGAAGGGAACATTCCACAAACCAGTCACCTTCACCTACGAATTACGTGACACTGGTCGCCATGGTTTCGTGCTTCCGGCTGATCAAATCGCCCCTACCGCATTGGAAACCCTGGACTCTTTAGTCGCTATGTTTAAGGAAGCTAAAGCTCGAGGATACGAATAAGCTACAGACTGCAGAATAAACTACGAACAAGATTGATCGATTTAAATAAACGAACGAAATAAAACAAATTATATATAACGAATATTTTTAAATTTTGTTTAATATATTTATATCGTTGTCTTTACTTCGTTTTCCTCGATTTTAACGCCGGATCTAACGCTTAAGACTCATGTACTCGAAGAGTAGAACAAAAGTGAGCGTAAAAATCACCATAACGTGATCCTACATCTAGCGGATCGCTGGAGATTTGTAACAAAAAAGCTGGTACAAGATCGAACTTGATCGTCAAATTCAATTATTACATTTTCTTCTATTCGTCGCGAGGATCAAAGCTCTCGATGGAAAAGTAGTCTGACTTGGAAAAAATTGTTTAAGTCTCGATTATCTCTAAACTGACTTTCTTCGCAATGTGTCTACATCTACAGCGAGAAAGTAAGCGAGAAAACGAGCTATCGACAAAGCAGCAGAAAGCTATGGATCGGCTATCAAAATGCTATCTTTCGAAACTTGGTGAGAAATAGCGAAGACCTCTCGTAGGAGGACGGGTTCCAAGGCAACGCGATTTGCCGCGGCTAGATTAACAATTTGGTAATCGAGAGTAAATATTGCAGCGTCTTGATCCATTATCGAAAAGTAGACCAGAGTAACAGCAGGTTATCGCTCTTGCTGGTATTTATACGCTAATGACATATCGCTTACATATCGCTGTGTAGCATTGATAGTAGCACAACGAATATAAACTCTTGGAGGAGAGAAGCTTCTTAAAATTTTGTAAAGAAATCTTCGGGAGTCATCTGAACGATGTCACGAGGCTGACTTCAACGCAAGATAAGCCACTTATGCCACTGTTCGCGAAAGCAATACAACTTCCCATCTCGTACGCGTTACATCCTGTACAATTTTATTCTTTCTCTTTCTCAACGAAGAATCACGGTGTTGCTTATTACGCTTACAACTACGATATTACTTATTATATGCTATACGTTATATGCTATATTGTATGCTACTACAGACATAGATTGAAAAGAAAATTTTTGGAATTATTTTATTCTTCCGTCGTCAATCATCAAGAAAACATATTAACTGCTATATATCTTACATTGTTCAAGTAAAAGATATTCTATTTGTACTGTTTTAAGTTCGTCTTCGTCATATCATTTCGTTATAATCGTCATAATCGTTTTAGGAGATTTGCGAATACACGCTAACCGTTGCCTACGCAATCCGTCGTCTAGCGGTAATTTAATGAATTACAATTGTTCTTGCTATATCTTTCAATTCTTTCTTCGAGATCTTTCCTGAGTGTGTATGTGGAAGACTTGGTAGAAATCGTACGCCACCACGCAGTTTACAATTATCCACCAGGTTACTAGCTACCATCTTTATCAATTCTTCCGCAGAAACCTGTAAATTAAATTATATATCGTATCTATATCATACACAAAGTAACGGCGATCGTTTCTTAGGTTTATATTATCTTTAGATTAAATTATGCTATTTAATCGTCGTTTTATTATGTCACTTCGATTTAAGGTCTCTTTGTATATTTACAAATTACCAACAATACTGATTAAGTTAAGAGAGTTAGTATATTAATATACCAACGTTAAAAGTAATAATAAATTACAAATTTAATTATTTATTATAGCAAATCAATATATCGATCTGTATGTACCTCCTTATTGGGTATTTTGCTGACGAAAGCAATAGGATGTTCGTCGTCTGTAGGATGAGGTATACCAACCACTGCCACTTCTAAGACTGCAGGATGAGATTGCAAAACATTTTCGATTTCGGTCGGCGTTATTTGGTGTCCCCTGTATTTCATAACTTCCTTCAATCTGTCCATGATGAAAACTTCTCCCTTCTCGTTATAATAAGCTAAGTCACCCGTGTGTACCCATCCTAAAAATAGAACGTTAATCTATTAAATTACCGAATCATCCTTATGTTTTATCGTTACTTAATTATCTCAATCTTTGCGTTACTATCATACTTTCCCAACATTTCATTTATCTTAAACCACAAGTAAACTATCTAGAGAATGGTTAGACCTATTTAGAATTTCGATGATAAAATTAACAATTGCAAATTGCGATATTTACCATCCTCGTCGATGGTATTTTTGGTAGCTTCGGGATTTTTTAAATATCCTGTCATGATCGACGCCGTTTTCGCGCAGAGTTCGCCATGCTCATTTGGACCAAGTGCCTCTCCTGTTGCAATATCTATGACTTTCACCTCGCAATTTGAACTTACCACGCCACAAGATCCGCTTGTGGTACCCGGTAATTGTGCTGCACACAGGCCTCCAAGCTCTGTCATACCTAAAAGAAAAAAAGAATAAGTTAATTCTTACGCAATTCCGTGTACCAACGCGTTAGTCGACCATTTAATCTCCTTATCTCAGACGAGAAGGTAGATATCGTATAAAATTTCAGTTTCTCGTGTAGTTTCTTTTCTACTTACCATACGCTTGCATAACGAACGTATTCGGGAAGTGATTCTGTAATAAATCTTGAGATTCTTGTTTCATCGTAGCACCACCGGTGAAAAGGATTTTCAAACTACTGAGATCATAATCGTGCAGATGAGTGTATCGGGCTAACCGATTTGCCATACTGGTGCTCAGCATTAACCACGTGACCTGAAAAAAATGATGATCAGTGAATAAAGAAGAATAATTGGAGTTGCGCTTTCACATAAAGGTCGGATGAAGCTTTTATGCTCAATCACTGCAGGTATCATATACATTAGCTTCCCAAATATGTGAAACAACGACGACGAGGGATTGTCCATCGTCTTGTTGGCAATAATGTGACTTGTGGCAGTGAGGGAAATGAAATATCAAGTATTCGTATTTTCTGAAGCTATTGATAATTTTAATAGATTTTTATATAATTACTGAGAAGACACTTTTTCACTAAACGCGATATATACAGGGTGGTACAAGCGGAAAAGAGGTGATTCTACGCGAAAAAAGAAGTCGAAAATATAGAATAAAATTTTTTTTTAATTCTTTTTTTCTCTTTTTTTTTTAATTTTTCCATCGAGACAACGATCTACAGTGAGATTCGTTATAACGTACAGCACGCGTACCGGGCGAAAATTCAAAGTCGATTTTCTCGAAAACAAAGCCTCGAACGAAAAATTTTTATTGTATATTTTCGATTTCTTTTTTCACGTAGAATCACCCCCTTTCCGCTTGTCCCACCGGTTACCAACCACCCTGTATATCGCCGTGTTTCTATTTTACGATCACAAGAATCAACCGAAGTAGATTAAAATGCGATAAAATTCTAAATAAACTTAATTCTTTGTAAATAAAGTGGATCGTAGATAAATCGAGCGAAATTTCTTCGTTGAGATCATTTTTGTTCGAATTTCTATTTTCACTCGGAAAACTAACAAACGACTGACTCGTTGAACGACTTACTATCGTAGAGACACTGACAAGTATCCTAAAATTTTTCCAAAACCGATAGAACGATAGAAAAATTAAGCTTGAAGAGAAACTATGCATTTGAGATTCGATTATCATTTATTTTACCGCTTGTTGTTTGAAAAAAACAAGCGCGTTAAATAATAAAAACATACCTTTCTATTAATATTATTCTAATAATATTCTATTAATATTTATCTCGGCATCTTCAAAATCAAAGTGATTATGTAGAAGAATCGATTGCGACAATCCCGAAATATTTGAACAAGGTCATCATTCCGAACAACTCTATCATATATACTTTATTCTTACTATATATTACTTTCATATATACTAATATTCTATTATTATTTATCTCGGCATGTTCAAAATCAAAGTGATTATGTAGAAGAATCGATTACGGCAATCCCGAAATATCTGAACAAGGTCATCATTCCGAACAACTCTATCATATATACTTTATTCTTACTATATATTACTTTCATATATACTAATATTCTATTATTATTTATCTCGGCATGTTCAAAATCAAAGTGATTATGTAGAAGAATCGATTACGGCAATCCCGAAATATCTGAACAAGGTCATCATTCCGAACAATTCTTTCATACATACTTTATTTGCCGAGTACAGTTTCCTACGATTTACAACCCATTAATTTGTCTCTTTTTCTTTACATTAGGTTATATCATAGGAACGTGATCCTCCTTAGAAAACTATTCGCGATGTTTACGAACAATGAACGTGACAATGAATATTCATGAGTCAAATGTAACAAAAAAATGTGAATATCTGAGGATTTAAAATCAAGCGGTGTATAGGATAAAGTTGTTCAGAGCGACGACCTCGACAAGATATTTTAAGGTGATCGAAATCGATGAGGAACTCGCACTTCCAAATAATTAGCAACACCTAAACAAAACGATTAATTGGTTAATATCGTCGTAAAAAGATACGTAGAACGATGATTAATCATCGATGCTTGAACATCAACGATGTTCAACTATCAATACGTATTATCGTACCTTAAACTTTTCGATAATTTCGCAGGTAGCTTTCCCGTCGAACTCCGGCCCGATGATCTTCTTGGTGCTAGAAACGATGCTTTTAAGACTAAGTACCGATCCACTGATCCAGTACAAAGAACTGAACCACATTGTGACGTGTTCAGTGAGCGAGAAACTTGTCTTCGAGTCCAATGCATTTAGAAGTGCCTTGTGCGAAATCTGTACGCCCTTCGGCATACCCGTTGTTCCAGACGAGAAAAGAATCAAACCCGTGTGACTGGGATCGTTGATCTCTCTGCATCGAAAATTCTTCACTGCCGACTCGGTATGCCCTTTCAGCGTTTCGGAAAACAGCGTCGTACCAGGATAGTAGCCGAAGCAGACCATTTTCAGATGATACAGCTCGATCTTCGCAGCCTCCGATATGACCGCCACCGATTTCTCATTCGCGAAGATCACTTTCGGTTGCGATAATGCGAGAAAGTAACGTGCAAGTTCTACGAAGTTGTAATAATCGATTAATCATCGTGTGCAATCGTGTAATCTTTTTAACATGCAAAGCAATCGGTTAAATGAAAAAAAAGGTATTTACCGGATATGCAGCTATTAAATAAAAAGTGAAAACATGAATAGAGTATATTCGGAAACCAAACTGATCGGCAAGCTTTTGTAAAT